TAATCCCAGCACTCAGGAGGCAGACAGAGGCAGGCAGATCTCTGTGATTTCCAGACCAGCATGTTCTACAAGAGCTAGTTCCAGGACAGCTTCCAAAGCCACAGAGAAACCCTGTCTCTAAAAACAAAACAAAACAAAAAGTTTGATAGAATACACCTAATATATGATGAATGTCAGGTTTCATGTGAAAACCTTACAGTAATGAGGAAATACATCATAGTATAACATAAATTTACACACCTAAAAAGACTGTAGGCTGACTATTCTTCCTTCTAACCTCCCCCCATTAGTCAAAGTAAAAACTAGATTTAAAAAATGCAAAACACAAGGAAGGAGAAGAAATTAGCAGTCAGTAGATGGGAAATCTCAACAAATTTCTAGAAGACAGAATGCCGAAAGAAACTGGTGCTTGACAGGACAGAGCACTCGTTGTCTCACAGTAATCGGAGGCCACGATTGATGGGAAAGAAGCCATCATCCTTCTAGATATCCAGTGTGAGGAGACAAGAGAATGAGACAGACATGGGGCTATGAACATGGAGATTAACTAAAAGCTCCTCAGGGAACAGTTCATACAGCTTCCTGCCTGACGATGGCCAAGTGTGCACTCCAAGAAAGAGAAAAATATACGAAGTTCACTTTTGAAAAAGAATAAAAACTATTTTGATGATTGATAGACTTCCAAATAGGACACTCAGGGGTCCTCCCAATTAAGAGCTAGCCCACCATGCACTTGCACACTTTATGGGGTCTGCTCAACTATCTAGAACCTCTATGCAGGACTTTTTCTACTATCTTAAATATACATGATGTTTTGTTGTTGTTGTTGTTGTTTTTGGTTTTTCGAGACAGGGTTTCTCTGTGTAGCTTTGGAGCCTATCCTGGCACTCGCTCTGGAGACCAGGCTGGCCTCGAACTCACAGAGATCCACCTGCCTCTGCCTCCCGAGTGCTGGGATTAAAGGCGTGCGCCACCAACGCCCGGTTTACATGATGGTTTTTATCTGAGGAAAGCCCACACAACTGTGGTTCTCAACCTGTGGGTCATGATCCCTTTGGGGGTCAAATGACCCTTTCACAGGAATCCCCTAAGACCGTGGAAAAACAGATATTTACATTACAATTCATAACAGTAGCAAAGTTACAAAGTAGCAACAAAAATAATTTTATGGTTAGGAGTCACCACAACATAAGGAGGTTGAGAATCACTGCTCTAGAAAAACAGGAAGATAAATGATCATATAAAATATGCTCCCTGGGGATTTTAAAATAATGACGGCAAAAAGAAAACATTTTAAAAGTATATTTTACTTTCGAGGTGTGATGGCACATGCCTTTAATCCCAGCACACAGGAGACAGAGGCAGGTGGGTTTCTGTAAGTTCAAGGCCAGCCTGATCTACAATAGAGTTCCAGGACAACTAGAGCAGCAACACTGAAGCAAGAAACCCTGTCTTGAAAAGAAAAAGAAAAGAAAAAGAAAAATTTTGTTTTTCCTTTTCTCACATTTCTTTTTCTCTGTATGTGTGTGTGTGATTGGGTGTGCATGTGGCATGCATTTGGAGGTCAAAGGACAACTTGTGGGAGTCGGCTCTTGAACTGGGTAAACTGGTTTTTTGGTTTCATCTTGTTCTAAAGATTTATTTCATTTTCAACTTACAACTATACATATGTGCCAGTATATGTACATATGAATGCAGGTGCCTTCACAACCCAGAAGAATCAGCTCTCAAGGAGCTGGACTTACAGTTGTGAGCTGCCTGACATTGGTTCTGAACTCAGGTCCTCTACAAGAACAGTTTGTGTTCTTAACTGCTGAGCCATCTCTTCACCACCCCTCCCCCCCCCCCCCCCCCCCCCCCCCGCTAGTTTTAATTGCAGCCTAAAGTCATCCAAGAGGAAAGCCTTGATTGAGGAATTGCCTAGAACAAACTGCCCTACTGGCATGTCTGTAGGGGACTGTCTTGATTATTAACTGATCCATGAGGGCCTTTGGTCAGAGTGTTTGATCACAGCACAGAAAGAAAACTAGAAGAGTTCTGGACTTCACCAAGCAGGTCCCAGGGATTGAACTCAGGTCATTAGGCTTGTCAGCCAGCACCTTTTACCTGCCAAGTCATCTCACTGGTCCCAAAAGCATTTCTTAGGTTGCTAATTTTTGTTCTTTGAAAGACTGTACCAGATACTGCACTCATAACATAAGAACAGAGGGGAAGGAAGAGCTCTTAAGTAAGATACCTAACTGTAATGGAGGCAATAAAAAATGTTGGGCAGAGATGTAGGAAAGGCAGAAGCAGAAGAGGGAAGAACAAACTCCGTCTGGGCAGATTATTTGAACCTGGGTTCCAGTAACCTAAGCAAGTGGCCTGTTTCCTAAGAAATCTTCCAGTAATATATAGAATATTTAACATATAGGCCTACAAAACAAGATAAAATATAAGGATAATAAACGCAGGAACAGGCCCACAGAGCCATTGTCCAATTTATGAACAATGCCCTGGAGATTTTATAGACAACAAATTGTTAATCTTGAAAATGCAAAGGAAAAAAACAGAAGACAGATGAAAGCAGTGCAGGAAAAAAAGAAAGAAGCAGGGACTAATATTCTTGTCCTGTGAAGTGTAAAGCCAAAAGACATTATCTGTGGTTCATGGGAATCCAGATAAACGAAGCATTCATCACTACTGCACAGAGATCATCAAGCTGATAACAAGGCTGAGTCACGCACTTACCAAGAATTTTTGGGACTGTTCATTTAATTGTAAGATGCAGCTTTAAAGTGACCCTGGGGAGGGGGGTGAGGGAGGGGGGGTGCTACGGATGCTAATCCGTGGAAAAGCTTTTCTCTAGCCTTTGAAAGGCCCTGAATTTGATCCCTAGAATGAGAAAAAAAAAGTACAAAATTTTAAAACTACAAGGTAAATGACCCAGGAACCAATAATGGCAATGTACTTACATTAAAGAGGAAGAGAGAGATAAGGGGATGGTGAAAACAGGCCAATGCCTCTGTATCAGGGCAGGAAGTCAAAGATAACATCTAAGGCTGGCCAGTCAGGAAGCAGGCAAAAGCATATTATTGAGAGAAATGGAAATCCTCAGAAGGACTAAACTGAAACCACTTCTTAAAATGATGATGGCTTCCTCAGAAAACAGGAGTGGGAGGGGAATGTGGGACAGGAGACCAATGTTTCCTGATATTTGTAATTTCAGCACTATCACATGGGTGACTTACTTTCATCATTTCTTTTAAGTTTAGTTAATAATTTCTTTTGGAAAAAAAAGTAGCAATCTAATCCTGTCGCTACTTCACACAGGCAAATTTTTTTTTGTGTTTGTGGTTTCCTGAGAATGGTCTAATAATGCAAAGTTAAAGGGTCACCTTGTAGCTAGGTGGCAGTGACGCATATCTTTAATCTTTAATCTACGAATTCGGGCCAGCCTGGTTACAGACCAGCTAGGACTGTTACAAAGCAACTCTAGAGAATACTGAGATGTGGTACCTGCTGGCTAATGAGGGTGGAACATACAGTCAATAGTCCAAAATACACAGTTTATTCACCCATCCCATATTGTGGGGTGGGGGAAGTGTGGGTGTAGGTGAGGGTGGACATATACAAGCGAGTACAAGAGCAAACATACAATTGCATGAGGAAGGCAGAGGACAACTTTAGGTGTCACTTCTCAAGCACCATCCACTTTGTTTTCTGGTCCCTCATTGATCTACCTGTCTCCAACCCTGGGATTATAAGCCTCTGTCCCTCCCTGCCCAGCTTTTCTCTGGGGATCAAACTCGGGTCCTTTTGAAAGCACTTTATGGCCTGTGCCATCTCCCTCACCCATCCATCCTGTCTCTAAGACCCACATCTTTTATTCCTCCTTTTTTAAGAATAGATAGATTTGAATACCCTGTTCACAAGAATAGGTTTAAGAGAGAAAACGCCAGTGCAATTACTGACACTAATGAAGCAGAGCTATTACCGCGTTCACAGTAGGTCAGAGCTTGAGTACTGTGCTGGTGATAGAGACGGTCTAATACAGCACAAACAGATGCTGCAGATGCTGGCCTGAATCCCAGAGATGCACCTTGTGCATCATCTAGGCAACGTTGGAAACATACAGTACAGAAACTCAGGCCATTCTTCACACATATTCAACTTAATCTGAACAACATATCTCCTTAATTTTGGGAAAGTAGCCAAATCTAAAACTGATCCTAAGGGAAAAAAATCATGTAAAATTTCTGACCTCCACTTTCTGAGGCAATAGAAGCAGTATCCTCAGAGACAGGACATCCCAAGCTGCCACCTTAGTCCACTTTCCTTGTTTATAGTATCAGCCTGGCCCTTGTAAGCCACTTGCATTTCAAACCCTCACTATAAAGGCTATAGCATGTTGACACACATAGTCCATGCCTAGAGTCTTAGAGACTGGATTATGACAATGGATTTTGACAGTAGTGGGGACATCAGCCATTCTTACCTAAAAAACTATTACTAAGTAGATATTTTAAATGGTGTGCCTTTTCCTTTTTTACATTTTTGTTTATTTTATGGGGGGACCACAGCACACATGTGAAAATAAAGAGGACAGCCTGCAGTATCTGGTTCTTGCCTTCCATGTGGATCCAGTAATCAAACACAGGTAGTCAGGACTGATGTGCAGCGCCTTTACCCACTCAACCGTCTTGCAGGCACAAAGCAATGAGCCTCTTTATTGACATATTATCTTAGGGCTCCCTCAAAAAAAAAAATTATATATATATATATATGCACTGTTGTGCAAATTTAAGAGTTTCTATGCAGGCCTATTCCACTACAACAGAATCCCTGCCAGCTGCCTCACTTTGAATACAACCAGGACTGGATGGCAGATAACAAAACAGTAACTAATAGTGGGCAGTATCAGAAATCGTACTGAACAGCCAGAAATAAAAACTAAATCACAACTTCCAATAATTAACTCTGTGTCTATATTTTGAGTACAATAATCATCATTTACTCACATTTTAATGTCTCTCCAGCATATGGTATGTGCAGTTTGAAGCGGTCACAGTTGGGTCCAGGAGTCAATGATGTACAGCTTAAGAAATCCAGGGAGAGAAAAAGATTTGTAAGAACAAAATCGAAAAGCCCACATATTTATGACACTTAATAAAGTAAATAAAAAGTAATTTTTATACATAAAAGGCTTAAAGAAGAAAATGGAGGCTTTTACTGGTTATGAAGTCTAAGACAATAAATGAATAAACCTTAATCTAAGACAAATTATGTATCTCACAATAAAACTTCTATGCTTTCTAACAACAGACACCAAGTGCTTCAAGTACCTCTTGAAAAGAAGTCTATCTTGACTTTTAAAACCATGTATATCATCCAAAACAGGTCTCTAGTCCTTGGAGCCAAGAACTGTAAGTGCAGAGAATTTTTATGGTCATATTTTAAACATAGATTCTTAGCTTTCACTTTGTTCATACAAAAAAGAGCCCACTTTTGGCCTTTTTCTCGAGGCAGATGGTTTTCTTTCTTTCTTCAAAGGTGCGATGCTTTCTCTAGATCTGGCACGCCGTACCATTCATATGCAGGAAAGCACGGCGCATGGCACTTGATTTCAGATAAAATGCAAATGCAAAAGATGGGGAGGAGTCAGTCAGCCAGGTCTCAGCATTCAAAAACTGAGGCATACAGCTCATGGATACTCAGAGAGGACAGTGGGATTTGAAATTCCCACTCAGCATTTGTTTGTGTTTAGAAATCTATGACTTCACAAGGTTCCACAGTGGCCTCTGCTTTTCTTATGTGCTTATTTTGTAAGGTATCCTAGGACCTTACAAGTCAGAGCTTCATGGACATAGCCCTGATCTCTTGACTGAATAAAATACTCATAGGAAGTCGATGAAGGAACTCCAGGTGGAGTTCCATGCCCAACTTTCTCTGTTTACTTCCCACATTATTTGTTCTATCCTGTATAGGTAGAAGTTTTTTCAAAACATGGAATTGGTTCAATAAATAGGACTCTTCTGATTAAAATCCTCCTTTGTGCCTGGTGAAAAGAACCAACTCAATTGCCAGCACTTGCAGGCCCCTGAACTGTCTGCCTCCTAACAATTGATTATCATCATTTTTTGCTTTCCTGTCCGTGTTCACTGTGGCCCATCTGCATTGCCCAGACATTCTCCTTGGGTGTATCAGCCTACTGCTTTTGTGCCTGTGCATGTGCTGTCTCCCGCCTGGACTGCAGGTCCCAGCCCTACTGCCAAGGCTTTGATTTCATCTCCAGAGGTCTCCCTTGATTTTCCAGTGTGAAGCAGCTGCTGCTTTATAACAGCACCCTGTTGTTTGTGTTTCCTTCATGTCTCTGACTTATTTATTACTGTTTCATCCTCACTGGAACTGAAATACCAACAGACTGTAGACTTTGGCTGTCTATCTGCTTAGTGTTCCTAATGCACAGAGCAATGCTCTGGTAATCCTTAGGTAATTCTTACCTAAATGAAAATAAACGGGCACTGGACTAAATACAGCAATGGCAAAAGAAAGAGTGGTTTTGGATGAAGACCTATGCTGTGAAGTGTTTCTTTTACACATTTCACCTCACCTCCAAAAACCAGACATGTACTATTTTAAAGTTTAACATGAGAAAAACCAAGAGAGGGAGATCAATTCTGCAAATCTGAAAGTAGGAATTACAACTGGAAGTCCATTTTTTTTTTTACCTAAAATTACATTTTTATTGTGTGTATGCACATGCACTCAGGTATGTCATGGCACACATGTAGAGATCAGAGAACAACTTGTGGGAGTTGAATCTCTCCCTCTATGTTAAATCCCAGGGATTGGACTCCTGTCAAGTTTTGCAGCAAATACTTTTACCCACTGAGCCACCTCACCAGCACTCAAGTGAGAATTCTTGATAACATCAAAAGAGGTAGGTTTTTTCTACTACTACTTTCCTATTACTTTATTTCAGAAACTTTCACAGTTAACAATTTACACAAGAAAATGTTCAGCATAAGCTTCATATACTGCCACCCTTACAGTCCCATCTAATCAACATGACTCCTAGAACTGTTCTGTATCTGTTTTCTAACCATGGCTTGTTTTCTCAATCCATAGGAGGACTCGGGTGCCAAACACAGAGCTAGGCACACAGATGAACTCTTCATGTGTACCAAAAATCACAATTCAAAAACTGAGGCATACAGCTCATGGATACTCAGAGAGGACAGTGGGATTTGAAATCCAGGGAGGGCACTGTGTGCACAGGTGGGCATTCCAACCAGCATGCATGAAGATAAGAATTTTCTGAATGAGCCAGGCGTGGTGATGCACACCTTTAATCCAAGTATTTGGAAGGCAGAGACAGCAGATTTCTGTGAGTTTGAAGCCTGAGTGATTGACACAGACAAGATGGCCAGGCTACATAGAGAGACCCTGTCTTTAAAAAGAAAGGAAGTAAGGAAGAGAGGGAGGGAGAGAGGGACAGAGGGAGGGAGGGAGGGAGGGAGGGTGTGGATGTACCAGCCTATCAAACCTTTTACTTGTTTGTGATAAAAACAGCAGACTTGTTGGCACTGGGAGATGCTCTCATCCCATCTTGAGAAGAGCGATATGTGATTATTGTGGAAGACCCTCTCTTAGAAGGGTCAAACACTGAGGCCAGAATTTAAACTTTAAATCATTGCTTAATATTTTTCTAACATTCATTGGACATGCATTAAGTGGCAACCACTACTTTACATCCTGTAATTAAAGTAGCTCTATTGACAGCAACCTTCTAATTTGGGCACAATTATCATTTCCATTTACAGAAGAAGTGAGTGAACCTCCTGGCTGAGATGTAAATAAGTTGCCAGGAAGTGACAGAACTACAATCCAGACCCAAGATGTCTGACCACAGAGCCCACTTTACAAATCATTACACTAAACCATCTCTCAATTAATTAAAGTGGCGACCATTAGAATTAATGAAAAGATAAAGTGGACAATTTTAACAAGTAATGTTTTATTAACAAAGTACCAGCAATGAAGAGCAAATGCTGATTACCAAAAGATGTTTTCATCAACAAATGGAGGGAGGGGAAAAGGAGATGAGAACCAAGTATAATAATATTATATGTGTATAAGGGCTGCTAAGACAGCTCAGGAGGTAAAGGCACTTGTCACAAAGCTTGCCAGCCTGACTACACACAGTAGATACCCATCTCTTAAAGGTTGTCCTGTGGCTTCCACATGCCCTGTGGAATACTCGTACCCACTCACATACACACATGTATGCACACACATGTAATTTTTCAGTTAAAAATTACATATGTATGACAATAGTGCAAAAAATCCATTACTTTGCATGTTAATTAAATAATTACCAACAAAAGTTCTGCAATGTACATTAATGAAAATCACTTATAAATATGTATAAGAACTATCTGTGCACACATTAATCAATGACATAAAAGAGAATAAAGTCCTTGACACGTGATTCTTGAAATCTACAACGCTGATACCCTTGATTCATTTAGCAGATTATTCATGAAAAGCGAAAAAAATGGTGAAAATTAATTTTTATCTGATTCAACCTTAAAACATCTATTCCTAGTTATTGAAATAAGATTCAAATTGTTAAGATTTCTGTACAAAATGAGAAAATGGTCGATTTCATGGTACTTCACAGGATTTTAGTTGGCCAAACACTAATTTAGATTAATCAGATTTCATGCAGGCATCTCACGATCTTTAGAACATCAACATTTCTAAGACAATGCAAAATACAAGAAAACATGCTTTCTGGCTTAAGGGTAGACCTACTTAATTCAATACTATCTGAAAAAAAAAAAAGTGACTTTGGCCATTTCTGTTCATTAAACCATCTAAGAAGGAGAAAAATAGATGAATTCAGGGTTCCTTCCCTGAGAGTGCGTCAGCTTCCTTTACCCTGACTATTAATTCACCATTTGGTATGTTCTCCTACATAGCTTCCTGTTTTTGTGATAATGACGTTTGTGCTTCACCAACAACACTTAACATCCGCTAAGACGGAAGTCTTCAGCTTTGGCAACCTTAAGGAACAGGTGACAGTGAAATAAAATAGGCTCCAAGACCAATAATTGCCTTGTAAATAACTCGAGTCACATGCTGCAGTGAGTAACTGTTAGCTGATATTCACCACATTTTTCATTTTATAGAATAGAGTGCTTTTGTGGTTTTTTTTCCAAGATTATGTTGAATATCAACACCTTTACTCAGACTAAATTGGTTTCAAAATGATCATGGCACCCAGACTGGCTGACATCTTAACATCTACCTAAATAATCTACAAAATGCAAAGGCATTCAAACCAATTCTAGGATTCAGCCCTGAATGCAATTAGTGCACATACAGCCAACTAAATCAAACCCCACAAAGTGAAGTCTTATACCCCCCTCAAAGGAAACCCAGGAATTAAAACTGGTAAGAAGAAAGTAGCAACATTATACTATAGTAAATCTCTTACACCATTCCCCAGGGAAATGGGACTATCCACTTAACAAGATGATTTTCCTGACACACCATATGTACATCTCTGTATCACTAAAATCTAAAAGGTATTTCTAGAACCCACTAGAAAATTATGCATTTAATTCCTAAAATAGAGTATCAAATAACTATTATCAAAATAAGTGACTCATCCCAAAAGGTTTTTCAAACATCACAAAATTGAAATATTCAAGAAAACGTGTCTGCCAATTTGTGTGACATAAACTAGTATTCCCAGCTTCTATGTAATATCTCCATTTACAAATGATAAATTTCAACTCTACCTTAGAATACAGAATATAAAATGTTGGTTAGTATTCCTCTGACAAAAGTCAGATTTAAATTGCAATGTGATTCTAGCAGGAATGATAGACTCAAATATTCTTTTTAATGTATAACAACGAAGTACATGATGGCATGTGCCTTTAATCCCAGTACTCAGAGGCAGAGACAGGTGGATCTCAAGGCCAGCCTGAGCTACACATCAAGTTCCAGGATAGCCAGGACTGCATGAAGACCTGGTCCCAAAAAAAAAAAAAAAAAAAAAAAAAAAAAAAAAAAAAAAAAAAA